CGTAAAACGGGAGGGGGGCAGACTACCTCCACCGGGGTCTCACTTATTAAGATAAATCCTGGGCTCCATTGTGGCCATAAGACGAGGACCCGGAGGGGAAGCCAAGCCCGGCCGTGCGCTCAGTGCAGCAACCTGGGCAGACCCTGCTGGAAAAGCGCGGACCCCCTCCCCGACCGACCGCTCACCTCCACCTTCCCGCGGGCCAGCCACTGCAGGCGGCTCCGGTCCAGTTGCACGGCGCGCAGCGGCGCCACGGCCGAGAGCAGCCCCAGCAGTAGCAGCGGCAGCCAAAGCAGCGGCGTCTCCATCCAGATGCTGAGCCGAAGCGAGGCGAGGAGGGCGCGCTGGCTTTTACAGAGCCGCTGCCACGTCAAGCCAGGCGGAGCTCCGAGGCGGACTCCCCGCCCGGGCTGGGTCCGAGGCGGGTCCTGGCCCCCCCGCCCCGCCTCCGCCCCGTCCCAGGGGTACCCCGACTGCCACCCCCCTCGCTCCTGGCCAGGGCACCGCGCCCGGCTCCGGAGGGAGCGGGTAGCTGTCAAAGAGGGTGGGAGTGGGCCAGAGACCCCCCCCTCCCCAGCCACAGTGGGCCCCCCTCCCGAAAACTTTGAGAAGCTTCATTCTTGTTCATCTGTGTGTGTGTATATGGGTATATGCATAGTTTTAGTTATTTTTTATTTTATTTATTTAGTGTGATGTTTATGCCGTTTATATTGGAGGTGGTGACCCTTTGAGAGCTGCACCAGGAAGACACACACCTGTACACACATACACCCTCATCCGGAGCTGGCCATCCACCTGTCATGCTTCCCGCTTTGGGAGAATAAACAACTCAAAGAACTCGCTGGCTCTGCCCAGTCCCGGGAAATGTTTTCCCTTGGCGCTTCCTGCTGAATAATATTGATTTCCAAAGGGGAGCAGCTGCACGGGAGAAGTCAGGGAAGCAATCCCAGGAGGCTCCCTGAATCTGAGATGGAAGGAGTCGAAAGAAGAAAGAAAGAAAGAAAGAAAGAAAGAAAGAAAGAAAGGAAGGAAGGAAGGAAGGAAGGAAGGAAGGAAGGAAGGAAGGAAGGAAGGAAGGAAGGAAGGAAGGAAGGAAGGAAGGAAGGAAGAAAGAAAGAAAGATAGTTTTGATCCTGGAAAAATTTCCCAATTCTCTGCTTCCTTCATAACATCATACATAAACAGATACCGCCTAATATCCGCTGAAGATGTTACCTAGCACGGTAATTAAATGTTCGGAAACCAATCCACAAACTCGGTGAACGAACCTTCATCCTCAACATCGTACTTTTCAATTTTGTTTTGTTTATAAATCAAGTAAGGTGAAAATCTTTGAATCACTGAGGAACTTCACTGACACATCCGTGTAATTTCCTCTGCAAAAATAGGGAAAGGCCTGTTTTGCTGCGGGGACAAAAAAAATAGGCTTCCTGTATCCCTGTTGCTCCCCCCCCCCCCGTTTCCTTTGAATCTCAGCTTCCTCTCACCTTCCCAGGCTATGCCCCGCTTCCTCCCTTGCACTGCCAAAGCCTCCTGGCTGCCCCCTCTGCCTCCTCATGGCGCTGGCCAGATTGCCAAAAATTGAAGAGACCCCCTTGGGCATCACCTTTCCCCCCGCATGAGACAGGAAGCGAAACTTCTAAGAATATCGCAGTTAATAATAGCCACATCAGGACTCCTGGCTTGGCAGAAAGGCTGCATGAGTCACGGCAAGTATTAGAAACTGGTAAGCAGGTGGGGAGTTGGTGAATCAGAGACAATATAGTCGTGGGCTGGCCGAGCATCTCCAGAGCATCCGCCGGCTTCTGAGCCGTGATTCACCCTTGCGCGGGGCAAACGGGCACCTGTGCTGGGAATAAAAGGAAAAGACGCAAGCCTTGTGCCACAAAGCAAAACTCCTTAAAGGGGTTGATGCAACCTCTTTAAGTCCAGGGACCAGCTTCTCCTGGAAGTGGAGTTGCATGTCTGAAGGGCCACTTTTGTTCAAGCTTCTCTCTCTGCAAATAGACAGCTTATCTGTGCTGGGCTCAAATGAAGTGCTGGGGAGTACTTTGCAGGCACAGGTGGGCCTAGAAGCGACTGACATAGGTTGAAATCTGTAGAAATGCACAGGTCTGGAACAGGTGCTACCTGGCTCAACAGTAGTAACTGTGAGAGGGACCTTGGAGTCCCAGTGGACAATCCCTTAAATAGGAGCCAGCCGTGTGCGGCAGCTGCCAAAAAAGCCAACACAATCCTAAGATGCATTAACAGAGGGATAGAACCAGATCACGTGAAGGGCTAATACAACTTTATAATGCCTCCGTAAGGCCACACTTGGAATAAATGCATCCAGTTTTGGTTGCTGTGATACAAAAAAGATGCTGAGACTCTAGAAAGAGTGCAGAGAAGGGCAACAAAGATGATCAGGGGACTGGAGGACAAAACATATAAAGAACGGTTGCTGGAGTTGAGTATGTCTAGTTTAATGAAAAGAAGGACTAGCGGTGACATAATAGAAATTTCCTAATATATAAGGGGCTGCCATAAAGAAGAGGGGGTCAAACTATTCTCAAAAGCACCTGAAAGCAGGACAAGAAGTGATGGATGAAAGCTTATCAAAGAGAGAAGCAACCTAGAACTAAGGAGAAACTTCCTGATAGTGAGAACAATTAATTGGTGGAACGGAGTTGTGGGTGCTCCATCAATCTCTTTCAACTACTTTTCTACATAGTAGAAGCTGCTTGAGCAGGGGGTTGGACTAGAAGATCTCCAAGGTCCCTTCCAACTCTGTTATTCTGTTAATCTGAATTAAAGACTCCACTGAGCCAAGCTAGATTCCTGGGACCTCCAGGACTTTTCCACTGAAGTGGTTGTCTCTGTCAGCTCCTGGGATTTTGGAGGGATTCCTCAATCCAGTCTAAGCTCTGGGATTTCCTACTGGCTTCCCATCCAAATACTAACCAAGGCTGATCCTGCTTAGCAGAGGGCTGCACTCGCTGTGCTGCTTTCAGAAATTCATTTTTGGCCCAACAGTATGCTAAACCTGTAAATCCAGATTTAGATGCTTCCTCCACTCTGCATAGAAGACAAAAGATCTCTTGATTCAATTGCTTCTTCTACCCTGTTTAGATTTCTAAGCAGATAAATTACCTGTGCGTATTAACAGTCAATATTTTTTTTAAAAAAAGACCCAGTACAGTGCCTATGTTTCCTCTTGAAATTTGGCAGCACGAAACAACTGAATGCTGGAAATTAATTTGCTCTCAGTCTGATTTTTTTTTTAATGTATTGCATTTGCCAAGGCAGTAAAGGAGACTATGCCACATTTTGGAAAGTCCCCCTTTGATACAATTTTTTAAAAAGAATCTCACACTATACAGCGCCTGACAATAGCAAACTGCATGTTCCTTATGAATGAAGGTGAATATACGTGTCCCAGGATAATGTTTCAGGATCCAATTTGGGTTGGTCACTGAGACCAAAAGTTTTGACTTCCCAGCTTTTGGACTTGTGCTGGAGCGCGTCATCAGGGAACTTCTCTCTAGCCAGGCTATATATAAACATAGCTTGCTGTGCCAGTTTCTTTGCTTTAACCTGCAGGGGACTGGCGTCATATTCTGCCAAGAATGACTCTCTGCCTGTCGTTCATGCAACAATTTTTATTTTAAGATCCATTCACCTGAATTTAACCACGTTTCTGCCACCTGGTTGTAATGTGATGATCAACCACCAGGGGGCAGAGCTTCCAAATGGATGTCAGACCTGTCATTCCTCGGAAGAGGTGGCTTTTTTGTGTGTGTGTGTGTGTGTGTGTGTTTTGATTTGTTTTATTTTTTGCAAAGTGCTGGGAGCTGCTGAAACTTGTTGGATTTTATCCCAAATCCTGGGTTGTGCACCTGTTCTAGCAAGGAAAAATAAAATAAAATAAAGAAAAGAAGAATGACACTATACTTCCTGGAGCTGGTGTGCTGCATTAGCTTGAAACCAGATATTTTATAGCGAATATAAGTGGCATAAGCTTTCCGCTTCCTTACTTTTCATCCCAAGGAAAAGTCCTTGAAGCTTGACTTTGGGTGTTTTACCTGGAGGCAGGTGTGATGTGTTCTTTGTCTTCTGGGAATTTTCCTGTCACTCTTTTGAAGCAGAATACAGGCAGTCCTTGACTTACCACCACAAACAGAAGCCCAAAGCTTTCTGTTGTTAAGGGAGACATTTGTGAAGTGAGTTTTGCCCCATCTTACGACTTTTCTTGCCTCGGTTGTTAAGTGATCCTGGGGATGCTGGAAAGATCGTAACTGGGAAAGGGACCCCCTCCTTACCACCAAAAGCTCTTGGTGGCCCTGCAGGGAAACAGGGAAGGAAGAAGGGCTACTACAGGACAACTAATTCCAGGGATGGGAAGGAAGCCCCCCAAGGGAGCTGGCAGGATGGGGAGGAGGGGATCCTGGCTGCAAGCTCTTAGAGCATCAAACTTCAAGCTTTAGAGATTAAACAACCCCAGGCTTCGCCCGCTCAGTGAATTCACCCGCTCACTGAAGCCGCTCTTTGCAGCCGCTCCGGGTCCAGCTGTGGAAGCCGATGGGCCCGGCAGCGCCAGAAGCAGAAGCCGTGGATGCCAACTCTCCTCTCCTCTTCTCTCTTCTCCCCTCCCTTCCCTTCTCCTCTTTCCTCTCCTCTCTTTCCTGTCTTCTCTCCTCTCCTCCTTTTTCCTCTTCTCTTCTCTCTTTCCATCCATCCATTTGATCTCTCTCCTCTCCCGTGTTTCGCATCACGACTTGCGCGTTTGTCAGAGACTGGGGGGGAGGGAGGGTCGTTCTGCGGGCCAGCCGAGGAAGGCCACCTCCGCTGCGCTCAGCTCCGGTCTCTGCGACGCATCCCGGACCTTAGTCGTGTCCTGAGGACTAGAAACTTGCTTGGCCCGGAGGGCAGGCAGCGGGGAGCCTTCCCGGAAGCCGGCGGCTGCGGGCGGCGCTCACGTCAGCCGGCTCTCCTCCTCCTCCTCCTCCTCCTTCCCGAGCCGGCGGCGGCGGCGGCGAGGCCGAGCGGGGCTGCGGTGCCTTTAAGTCCCCCCGGAGGGTGACGCCACCAGCGCCCGGGCGAAGGAGGCTCGGCGGCGGCCAGAGCGGCGGAGCGGCAGTTGGAGCGCCGGGATGGAGCCGCCGCCGCGCCGGAGCGCCGGGAGGAGCCGGCAGGCGCTGCCCAGGGGCCGAGCGGGGGAGCCGGCGGGCTGGCGCAAGGTGAGTCCGGTCCGGGCGGCAGGTGGCCGGGCGGCCCGTGGAGGGCAGGGATGGGAAAGCCGCGCGCGGCGCAGCCGGCCAGAACCCGCCGCCGGGTCTGCCGAGGCCGGGTCGCCGTGCACGTGAGAAAGCGCGCGGGTCCCGGGCGCACGTGTAGGCGGCCGCCTGGAGCGGTGCGCGAGCGAGCGCGCGTGTCCGAGGCTTGCCCGGATTTCTCTCCTACCACCACCACCACTCTCATCCCCCGTGGGAGTCCCCGAAGAGATGCGCGGGGCCCGGGATGGAGCCCCTTTCCCGGGACAGAAGACTCCGGGCGGGCTTCCTTTTCGCCCCGCGTGGACTCAGACGGGGCTGTCGTGGGGAGGGGGCAAGCGTGAGCCCACCAGATTCGGCCGTTCCTTGCAGCTCCCTTTGCACAGTCCTCGGGAAATCAATCAATCACGCACACCCAAACACACGCGCGCGCACACACACAAACACCGTCGTTTTCTATTCTGCTCTTCTTCCCCTTTCTTCCCTTTGCAATTGCTGGTGTCCTCTGATGGGGGTGGGATGGGTGGGGGAGACCCCGGGCTGAGGGGTCTCTCTGGAGGTTCAAAGAACCAGGGAGAGAACTAAAAGAGGGAAGGGGCAGTTTCCCTCCCCAGGCTCGTAAATGCCACCCAAGCTGGCCGTTCTCTTTATTGCCTGCCGAGGTGCCCTTCCACCCAGGTTCCCAGGACGGGGAGCTTCTGCTTCGCTCAGCACCTTCCAGGGGGTGGAGAGGAGAGATGAAGGGCACCGGCAGGGCTGCAGGAGACTCGGCTCTCGCCCTTTGCTCTTGGGTCCTCTTGGAGAAAGGGAAACTGAGGCAGGGGACCGTCCATTAGAAGAAGAAGAAGGGCCCTGGAGAGAACTTGTGCTCCAAGGGCTTAAGGAGGGGGCTCTGGGGGGAGGACTGCGGAGGGAGCTCAGCTGGAGATGCTCAGAAAAAAGGGGGCCTGGCAGCTTGCCTCTTGGGGGGCTGACTGGAGAAGAGAACTGGGCATCAGTGGCCACGGCTGGCATGGAGCCCTTGTGCCCTCAGTGACTTAAGAGTCCGAGGGGGTTTGAGTGCAGGTGTGCATTTTTGTCCGTCCTGGATTTCATTCCAAGTCCTGGAAGGCAACTTGGTGGCCCAGAGTCCAGGGACTGGCCTGAGATTGGGGAGGTCGTGGTGGACATTCCTGCTCAGCTTCCAGATGCCCCCAGGATGCCCTCCCTGACTGTTGGGAGCATCGAACTGCAGCTGAGGAGCGTCCTGGCCAGGGCGAACGGGGGGGGGGGGAACGGATCGATACCTCAATGAATAGTGGATAGGATCACCTGCTTTCCAGAGATCACTTACACACCTGAGAAAAGGAGATATAATTTCACTCTGCTCTTGGCATCTATTATGCATTAAAAGCTACTTGATCCTCTGACTGTTCAGCCCCACGCTTGGCTCCTGGCCCAAAGGAACGAAATTTTCCCAACTTCTGACAGGACCACTGAATGGGGTGCTTCAAGGACACCACCAAACTGATTCACGGGTTGAATTTCTTGTGTGAATGCAGTCAATTACCACATAATGCTGGTTTGGGGGAACTCCTTGTGTTTGAGTTGCCAGTTGGACCCCCTTCAGTGACTCCTCTGATGGTTCTCCCAGGCCCGTGGATTAGGATGGTGGCCGTGCCTGTTCAACTTGAATTGTGTCTTGGTCACCAGTATTTTCTGCTTTTGATGGAGGTTTTCTAAGTTTGTTTGTTAGAATCCACTCAGAGTCCTTGTGGTGTCGGACAGGCTCAAAACTGAAATAATGCTCTAATAAACTCAGCTGCAGGCTGGATCCACCCATTGTGCTAAACCACAATTTTTTTTTTAAGCACGGTTTTGTTGCTAAAGCCGCTTGTAACGGGGTTGGCACATCACACCAAACAAGTGATATTTGAATCCAGGTCAAGTTCTACAAAAGAGAGCGCGCAAACCCCGCTTCGATTTATCATACAATAACTTCACGAATTCTCCTGCTCCAGATGATTTAAGTAGAGTTGAACGAAGTAAGCTAACATCAGTTGAACACTCAGTTTAAATTTGAAACTCAGCTTAAATTTGTGAAGTGAAAGGACACAACCAGGAACCTTGGATGTGCGGTGACACTCCCCCGCCCCCCCCCGTTGACCTGCAAAGAGGGCTATCGTAGTCTTTGTGGGCAGAAAGAGCAACTGACTAAATATGTTTCTAAAGAGAAATTACATTGACAAATTCAGTTGGAAATGTAAATATGAGGAACTCTTGTTAGTTTTTGTCCTGGCTGCCCATCCACAGCGTGTGGCAGCAGCTGGCTAAACTTGGGCTGATGCTGCAAAGCTAGCTAGGCTGGAACCTGGTTAAGGACTAACCAGGGAAGTAGCAAATCATCCCAGGAAGAAGCAAGGCAAGCCATGGCTCTCTGCTCCCCTGAAGCCATGGTTCCGTGTCCAGGGAGTTTGACCTCGGGCAGTCTGAGCCTGGCCTTTCAAAGGGCTCCTGGCATGCGGGATGGCACAACTCACTACTGCCAACTCATCACAGCCAACTCACCGTGGGACAATGCAACAATTCAGTTTAATTATTTTAAATAATTTAAACATGATTTGATCTTTGTTATCCACATTTCAGTTTTGTCCCTCCTTTGGTGTCCTTTCTTTCATGATTCTCTTCCACTGTTTCTTTGATATTAGTGTAATTCTTGTCCCGTGGCACGTTGGCAAATTGTCCCGTGGCTGGATGAGTTGACCAGTAGAGAATTGGCTATGGTGAGTAGTCACAGACCCCCCTACATGAAGGTCCGCACGTGGGATGGCCGGACCCCTGCGGCCCTTCCCAGCCTCTCACTGCCGCCAGGCCTGTGGGGGCTGCAGCCCCTTTGAGAGATGGGCAGAGAATCCCCGGTGGTGCCAAAGTTCCACGGCTGTTGGGAGGCAAGAGGGGCAGCCTCCTGCAGGGGCCAGGAGATGGCACCATGGCGAGGGACTCCTCGGATGAAGACCTGGAGGTGGCCCAGATCTCATGGGTCCAGGTATCGCCCAAGGCCAGCCAACAATGGAGCCCCGTAAGCTTTTGGCCTAAGAGCATTCTCCTCCCTGAAGCCGCATCACCCAAGTGAATTGTTAGAACAGGGTGCGAGCCATACGGCAGCCTAGTAGCCGGGTCAGAATTATCATTCAGACGTGGCTTAGCATGTTGTGTGAACCTAGCCAATGGTGGCTTGTTGACCACAGCACGGAAAATCAGACTAAGGCTTTGTGCAAGATGGAACCTCAGCCACGGGAAACCGCTCAAGGCCCTTTCTCAGAAGGAATCCGTATTTTCTCCTGGAACTCCAGACCTGCAGATGGGTTGGGAATCACCCGTTAAGCTGAAGTTGGAGGAACAAGAGATAATTGCTATCTTTGCAGGACATTCTGTGCCCAAAGCAGTGAACCATCTTACCGTCTTATCTTGTTTTATCTTTTCTTTTAGATGGATCTGGGGCACCCAGGACCACCCTCCTCACTCCCCTCGCACCCCATCCCCCCTCGAGGGAGCATTGTGGCGCTGCCGTCTCCGGGGGCTTTCTCTCCAGCTGCCGTCCCCTTTGTCCCGGAGGGAACCATCCGCTATCAGCCAGAGGGATCGAGCGGGGCATCGTACATCGGAGGGCAGATGCCAAGCGGGACAAGGTCCGACTCTCTGGGTGAACCCTTTCACGCGCGGCTGCAGCCAGACGGGTCTCGCCGAAGAGCAGAGAGTGAACCCCAAGAACAGGCTGGTGGCCGGCCAATCCCACCTCTCTCCTTGGAGATCGGCAGAGTCCAGCCTGAAGGCTCAGGGTACAACACCCCAACTTTGCGGTCTCCGGTAGAGCTGCGCCCCTTGTCCCCTGGATGTGGCAGCTCCTCCTCCTTGTCCAGCCTGTCTCCCTCCATGAAACTTAGCCAGTCCCCAAGCAGGGGGGCCCTTCCTGACCTCTGTGCCTTGGATCCTCTCTCTTCGGGCATCTTGGCCACTGTGGAACTGAAGGACTCCCTCCCCAAGGCCGAATCCAGTGACCACATCTGCCTGAGCCGGCCGGGCTCGTCCCACCGGCTGGGCTCTCTTTCCAAAGCCATCTCCAGCGAGTATCTGTCGGGGGGCAGGATGGGGCCTTCCAAATCCGCCATACTCTCCAAAGCCGAGTCAGAGGAACTGACCTCCTACTCCAGGGTCCGTCTGTCACCCCATTTGCAAGACCCGCGGAGCAGCAATACCAACCGTGCAGAGAACTTTCTGGAAAGATTTGGCCGGCCACAAACAAGGCAGGACAAGGAGTTCCGGTGAGACGCAGCAGAAGTGGGCGGGCGGGCAGGCGGGCGGTGGGGAGATGGAGTAAAATTGTAACGCAAAAGCAGGCGGAAGAGCCTGAAGCAACTTGGGGAAAGGCATGGGTGCCAATGCTTCCCAATCGGGGCAGTTTGAAGGCGTGTGGACTTCAACTCCCAGAATTCCCCAGCTGGGGAAACACTGCCCTAGGCTCTTGACTTCGGTTTTGTTTCAGTCCAGTTCTCGTGGTTTCTTCTGACAGCTAAATTAGGGGATAGGAATTGGGAGGGGGCTGCAGGCAACTTTGACTGCACCGTTGGCTCTACCCCCTTTAAGGCAACTTGCTAAGAACTCTTCAAGGCTCACAAAGGTGGAGTGGTTAGTGGTGAGCTGAAACCAGGCAGATCCAAGGCCCCAGGTCCAGTTAGGGTGCTCCTGTGGACTTTGGGCCAGTCTCCTTCACAAGCAAGTTGCGAGGATGAAAAGGAGAGAGGCTGCCCTGCTCCTTGGCGGAAACCTGGAGTAGAAATGGAATAAAGCTAAGAGGTTGTGCTTTCTTGCCACAGCCACGGGACAATTGAATGATCCGATTTAATTATTCAAACTAAATTTAAAAATATTTTAATTTTTTTTGTCAATCACATTTCATTCCGCCCTCCTTTCGCATCCTTTCTTTCATGATTTCTGTCCCACCTTTTCTTTGATATTAGTGTAACTCTTGTGCCGCGGCAAATTGTCCCGCCGTAATGCGTTGGCCACAGTGAGTTGGCCGTGGTGAGTTGACCTTGGCGAATTGTCGTCGGCCCCGAGGGTTGTGCTTCCTGAAGAGGTCTTCAGAACTTACCTGTTGGGAGTAGGTTTAGCTGCTCAGCAGCTCTCTGAGAGGCAGCAGCTGCCTTCTCTCAGCCAGCTTCCTTGGGTGACTGAGTAAAGTCGGTTTCTGCGTTTGTGCAAGTTGCAAGAGAACGGGTTGTGCTTGCAGGGCATGCCTCGCCTCTTCCCCCCTCCCTCCAGGTAGTCAAGGTTAAAGCTAAAGGTGAATGAATGCATTTCTGGTGCAGCTGGCCTGACAGGGGACGCAGCCAGCATGATTCAGGCTGCCGATTCTGTGCCACCCAGACTTGCTTCAGACAGGAAAGGCAGGACAAAAGTATTTCCATACTCCAGAGAGAGAATGTCTCCCTGTTGGCTGCTTTGCATGCTTCAGACTTCCTTTTGCAATGTTGAACAGATTGCCTTGGAAAGGTGAGTGGCATCTGTCACGAATGAATGGGCCGGAGAAGTCACTGCTCCAGCTGACCCCATGAGGTCCAGGAACCTGCTCTCAAATGGGGCTCTGGTTTCTCAACGGAGCCAGGCCAATGGCCAAAGTTGTAGATGGGCAGGAGAGCTTTTCGTGGGCTTTGCAAGGGTGTGGGGTGTTCCTTGCAGGACCCATAGGTTGTGACCTGGCTTGTTTGCATCCCTGGCATACTGTCCTCAAGACCTCTTGGCAAGACCTGTCTCGTCTTTCCCGGGAGAGAGTTCCTCTGGTTACGTGCAGAGGAAAAGCCCCTTTGGGACAACCATGACCTGGATGATGGAGGATCTCCCTGGACAGCAGAAAGAAATTCCGGGTTTAACAAGTTATCTTTTCTTCCCAGTGGACACTCCAGCTGGGGATCATGAGACTTGTAGTTGATTGTGCCTGATAGAGTCTGGGAAAGCTACTTAGTCCTTCCCCCCACCCCGAAGCAGCTGGTTTGAAAGGCACCCCTGTAGAAACTGGCTGTCTTTGCACGATACAGGTAGTCCTCGACTTACGACGATGGGCCCAAAATTTCTATTAAGTGAGATATTTGTTCAGTGTGTTTTGCCCCATTTTACGACCCTCCTTGCCACATTTGTTAAGCGAATCGCTGCAGTTGATAAATTAGTAACCTGGTTGTTAAGAGAATCTAGCTTCCTCATTGACTCTGTTTATCAGGAGGTCGCAGGAGGGGATCACGTGACCCCTTGTGACGCTACAACCGTCACAAATATGAACCATCGGTCTATATATTATAGGTTGCATTGCGGTCTGAGTTGACCAAAATACATTAAGCCACAGGCAGTTAATCCAGGCGAGGAGGAATGAAACGGATGATGTGAAAAAGGCAATTCTTTTATTTCACCGACCTGGTTAAGCCTGTTGTGTGAACACGTAAACACCCTCGTAAACACTTGCTGCAAGTAAACCACATTGTCGGATTAAATAGGTAAGGAGGGGGACAGCGGTCTCCATGGTAACCCAGATTTACTCATCCCTGCGTTGTATTTCAGAGCCCGCAAAGGGTGATTTTGGTAAAAGGCAGGCACAGGAAACACGAATCTGCCTTTTCTCCTTATCCATGAATAGCATGCTATTTGTCCAGTAGTCTGCTAGAGAAAAATAGAAATAGAAAAATAGGGGTTTGCTTGTATTTTGTTGTTTCCTTTCAGTTTTTACAATGTCCCGGGGATTTTACTGATGGAGAGGATATCCATCCTCCCCCCCAAAATGCAATCAGCGAATCAAGACTAGCCTCAGCCATGGCTGGGGGGGGGGCAGGCCAGCCATGGGCCTGACGATGATGTGTTTATGAAGCTGTATACACAAGAGCCCCCCCCCCCTTCTCTCATTCACAGAAACGTAGCTTTAGAGCAATCCTTAAGACCGAGGATGGACCTTCGTGGCCTTCCAGAAGGAATTTAAAACCTGGTTCTGATGGCTGGCTTAGGGCCCCGATGGGGACGCTCTTTGCTGGAGGTGATTGATGGGGTACAAATGACACACACACACACACACCCTCCCTCCATGCTGTCTGCACCTTTGGTTTTAGTCTCTACGTTTCATTAATTTTAACTGTTTTTACATTTAGCTTTTTTTCTTTAGAGCTGTGGTGGTGCAGTGGTTAGAATGTTGTACTGCAGGTTAACTCATTGCTCACTGCCAGGAGTTCGATCCCGACCAGCTCAAGGTTGACTCAGCCTTCTGTCCTTCCGAGGTCAGTAAAATGAGGACCCAGATTGTTGAGGGCAACTTGCTGACTCTGTAAACCGCTTAGAGAGGGCTGTAAAGCACCGTGAAGCGGTATATAAGTCTGAGCGCTATTGCTATTATCAATCTATAAGCCATAGGCAGCACATAAATTTAATCAACAAATGAAGTAAAATAAACCTGGGTGGACTTTGACTCCCAGAATTACACAGCCTGCATGCATTCTGGGAGTTGAAGTCCAGGTTCAATTCTCATTTTTACAGTGAGACACACAAACTAAAAATTCTTTGCCTTCCAAAGTCGGGCTTCTGCGCATTTTGCCCTGCAGTTCTTCAGCTGGGGTTGGAGAATCTTATGGGAGGGCAGGACGGATCAAAATACGAACTGACACGTGAAAAAAATGGGGCATCTCAGGCCACGCTATCCCAGGCACACGTGTTCAGAGAAATGTTTACAAATGGGAGTGTAAGGGTGAGGATAATGTCATGTTCAATCCATCAGACTCGCAAAATGAGGCTAAAATGGAAAAGATTCGAGGGAAAAAAAGGACAAGAAATCGAAGAGGTTACGTCAGAAGATGGAAATAAATGCTGAGAGAGATCCAGCCCATCTGAAGGGAAGCCAGGACAACCCTTCGCTCACGGAGCCTGCTTGAGGAAGGGTCCCACCTGTCCCCTTTGGGAGATGGACTTCAACTTCAATAGTGTCAGGTCGCTATTACCATCCAAGGGCAAAAGAAACAATGCCCCCCCCACTCAACTGCCCCCCCTTCCATTTACAGAGCTCCTGACATCCTCATTTCTAAACCCCATTAATGCCGTCAAGGATATGGATTTCTCCCCAAGCTGTTTTCTGTTGCTGGTGATATTTTTACTGCTGTCAAGTTTGTTTCTTTAGCCATGAAAGAGAAACACATTTCGAGAGGTTTATGATGTAGAATTTGGGGAGGGGAGGATGGAGTCCTCCCAGCACACTGGACCACAGATTAGCCAACCACAGTTTAGGCAAGGTGTTACGTGATGAAGCATCTGGATAGGAGATGATCGAGACATTCCAGGGCTCTAAGATCCCTTGGGAAGATGGAAACACAATCTGGAAGAAGTCAAACAACAAATGACTTCTGTATAATTAAAATTGCGGAATGGGACAACAACACTCACAGTCAACTCACTGCGGAACAACTTTCCATAGCCAACTTGCCACCGGCGAGCTAGCTGCAGGATTATTTGATTATTTAAAGTAATTAAAAAAATAAGTTTAATTTTTGTCATTCACGTTTGATTTCATCCTTCATCCTTTCTTTCGTGATTCTATTCCACTCTTTCTTCCGATGTCAGAGGACGAGTTGTCCCATCCCGCAATTTTAATTGCACAGAAGTCATTTGCTACAGACCTCTTCCGGATTGTGTTTCCAACTTCCCAAGGGATCTTACAGCCTCGATCCAGATTGGCTGGGGATGATGGGACGGTGCAATTGAAGGGCGAGACTGCGGTTGAGGTCTCCCAACAGCTCTGGAAGGGGCCTCTTCCTCCGGGAGAGGAATCAGCTCAGGCCTAGCAAATGTCGGGGTAACGTGGTTGGCTTTTCCTGTCTCTCCAGCATCACGGTGGTGACGTGGAACGTCGGCAGCTCCATGCCCCCCAGCGACGTGGCCTCCCTCTTGCACCTGGACTCAGGGGACTCCAGTGACAGCGACATGATTGCCATCGGGTAAGGCGAGGGGGACGCACTTCCTGGAACATCTGTGGCTCCTTTTTCTAGATCACCTTTATTGTCATTTTTTTCATGGTGGGCACGCTGGCACGCATTAAAAATGCAATTCTGTTGCCTGCTCTCAAAAGCGTACACATACATAACATACATACAGACATACTATATACATGCATACCGTGTTTCTGGGAAAATAAGACCCAGCCGGAAAATAAGCCCTAGCAGGATTTTTCTATAATATAAGCCCCACCCAAAAAATAAGCCCCAGTTAAGATCATCAGCCAGCATTTAGTACTGTATTTCCCCAAATATAAGCCCTAACAGGAAAACAAGCCCTAACGCATCTTTTGGAGCAAAAATTAATATAAGACCCGGTCTTATTTTCAGGGAAACGTATGTATAAAGCCCTTACGTATAAACACATATAAATATTCATTTTTGTCCATTTTGGACACACAGCAGAAAGAGACAAGGTTGATGCTTTGTGGAACAAAACTGTGGCTGAATCTGGATGTTCTGCTTGGGATACGACGTTTTCAGTTGTATTCCTGCATTTCAAAGTGGCCAGGTTTTTGGTGGTTTGGGAGCCCAGTTCAGCATCCCACAGGAGGATGGGGACAGGCTGATGAGGAGGGAGCAACGCCGGAGTTCCCACCGCAGAACAGGCTGGCATGTCTGAAGGCGGAAAGACGCCCCATTTTCGCCGGTTCCCAGAGAACAGCTGGGCTGCTGATCAGCTGGAAACTTTGAGGGAAAGCTGGTGATTTTGCACTGTTTTGCAGGTTGCAGGAGGTGAATTCCATGCTCAACAAACGCCTGAAGGATGCGCTCTTCACCGACCAGTGGAGTGAGCTTTTCATGGAGGTGTTGAGCCCCTTTAACTTTGTCCTGGTAAGCCCAACCTTTGCAGCTTTGTGGACTGGCGGTGGAGGGGATGGTTCCGCACGGGCAGCGGGCAAGTGCGTGTAGCTCCATTTGTGCAAGCGGTGCTCACCGTTTGTGCCTGCTGCTCGCTCAAGCGGGAACACACGTGCACACACTGACCCTCCACTTCCACGGGCCAGTTCCGAATGGCTCAAGGCTGCAACCTGGGAGTTGGGGACCCCTTTGAGGAATATCCAAAAGGAATTTGCAGAGCGACTGACCCTTAGAGCCCTTGGGATCAATAGGGCCAAAATCTGGGTTATTTTGGCATTTGGGGAGAAATTTCAGGAAGTGTTTCCCCCCTCCCTCCCCCAGATCACTGCCTCTACTTTGAGCATTTTCAGGCCAAAGGGAGTGCAAGGCTTAAGGCACATAATCTGCCCTGTAAACCATCCTCCCATACTTCATAACCCGGCCACATGACTCTGAAAGCTGGCCAGATAAGCTGATTCCTCTCCGGTCATGAAATGAATGAAGCTCAGAAGGATAGATTGATTCAGCTCAAGCGGCCAAAGCAGAAGCCACCTGCTCTTCTAGATAGCCTTTGAAACAGAGTTTCTCAACCTTGATACACACAAACACACTCACTTTACAATGTGTGGACTTCAACCGTGCGGACTGAGGAATTCTGGGAATTGATGTCCCCATGTTGTGCAGTTTATTCTCCTATAAACGTGTATTTTTGCAAGCAGTTTTCCTGAAATTTTTCTGGTTTTCCTTTTTTATTCCTGAACCCCGATCCGAAGTCCAGAAAAGGACAGATTTTGCACACTGATAGCATTCACACCAAGTGAAGTGTGAACTGGAAAGGCTCTAATTAAAATCAAACTGAATTAATTTCCCTGCAACCCTTAAGTCTCACTGTTAAAGCTTCAATTCGTAAAATGCATCTAAGGGGAAAAAAAACTTCTGCCTTTTTTTTGTTGCTTTAATTAGAAATATAAATAGTTTGGCAGGGAAGTGTTATCATGGCGTACGCCAGCTGCTGCTTCTCCAAAGCTGTGTGGTTTTTCCAAGAGATGCTTTTGCTTTGAGCAAAGAGCCTTCACTAATGGAAGTGGCTCCTTCTTCTGATCAGCCTGGGTCGATTGAGATCCGGCAGGCGTTTCCCCAAGGAGCCCTCCAGTCCTAGGCTTATTTGCAATGTGGATGTTCAGAATTAGAACTCAGTGCCTCTCATTGCCTTTTGCTGTTTCAGGTGAGCACGGTACGGATGCAAGGAGTTATCCTGTTTGTCTTTGCAAAGTATTACCACCTGCCTTTCCTACAGAACATCCAGACAGACTGCACCCGGACAGGGCTGGGCGGTTACTGGGTGAGTGAGTTGGTACCAAGGTACGATTTATATTTGGAACCCAGCTGGAGAAGTCTAGCAGGATCAATTAGGCGATTGGAATAAAGCTGGAAGGGGCCTTGGAGGTCTTCTAGTCCAGCTCCCTGCTCAAGCAGGAGACCCTAGCCTAGACCATTCCAGACAGGTGGCTGTCCAGTCTCTTCTTAAAAAACCCCAATAATGGAGCACCCACAACTTCTGGTGGCAAGCTGTTCCACTGGTTAATTGTCCTCCCTGTCAGGAAGTTTCTCCTTAGTTCCAGGTTGATTTGTTGCCCTCTGTTGTTTCTTGTCCTGGTGCTTAGCACGCTGCTAAGGGCTCATCTCAGCACTCTCCAGGGACAACAGCTGCCTCTCCCCCTGTTCAGTCAAGCCCCCGATTCAATTGGCCTCAGGAAGGCAAGTGCTGGTGATGCTCAGCTATCGGGCACTGCTCTAAGTGGAAAGGATGATGGCGATTGAGTTTGGCAAATGTTGCTTTTCCAAGATAGCTCTTCCCATATGGGAGCACCGTGACCCCTGGTGCTGCCTCCCCCATCTCCGATGGCCTATTTCCTCTGCCTCCCTCGGACCCATTGGTCCTCTGCCTTCCTCCTCTTGCAGGGCAACAAGGGAGGGGTGAGTGTCCGGTTGGCCATCTTCGGGCACATGGTTTGCTTTTTGAACTGCCACCTGCCGGCACACATGGAGAAGGCGGAGCAGCGTAAAGAGGACTTTACCACCATCCTCCACCTGCAGCAGTTTGAGGGGCCCTCCGCCAATGGCATTCTTGACCACGAGTGAGTAGCAGCACCTACTGCATCCTTTCAGCCCGGGGAAAGGAGCCCAGGAGGGCAAGGGGAAAAGGGTAGGTGCCTTGGCTGGTTCCCCCCTCTTTGGGGAGAAGCCGTGTCAGTTTGGAAGGTCCATTTTGGGTGGCTTCTGATCAATGATTGGATGGGATTTTTATCCGTCTGTAAAAAGTTCCTTACAAGTCCTTCTCCTTCCCCATGTCTCCCCTCCAGCCTCGTCTTCTGGTTTGGGGATCTCAACTTCCGCATTGACAGCCTGGACATCCGCTACGTGAAGTACGCCATTGACAACAGCATCCTCCATCAGCTCTGGGAGAAGGACCAGGTGAGAAATACACATGGGTGCCTGGTGTGTGTGCAGGGATGAGAGTTGGGGGAGAGGAACAGGAAGCAGCAGCCTGTATGATGGACACATTCTCCTGTTGAGGTCAATTGACCAGAATAGAGCTGGAAAGGACCTTGGAGGTCTTCTAGTCCAACCCCCTGCTCAAGCAGGAGACCCTAGAGCATCCCAGACAAGGGGCTGTCCAGTCTCTTCTTAAAAACCTCCAGTGATGGAACACCACAGCTTCTGGAGGCAAGGTGTTCAACTGGTTAATTGTTCTGTTAGGAAGTTTCTCCTTAATTCCAGCTTGCTTCTCTCCTTCTGCAGCTTAACATTGCAAAAACCACGTGGCCCATCCTGAAGGGGTTCCAAGAAGGATTCCTCAACTTCCCCCCGACCTTTAAATTCGACGTGGGAACTAACATGTATGACACCAGGTATGGAAGACTATTGGGGGGAGGGGTTGGGAATTAGTAGGATCTACTCCTGGACTGTGCAGAGGCATTGATTTAGAGGTAGCCTTCAACTTACGACCACAATGGAATCCAAAATTTCTGTCATTAAGTGAGGCATTTGCTGTGACGGTTGCTGTGTCCCGAGGTCACGTGATCCCCAATCCCCAATCGGCATTGACAAAATCCTCATCCGTCCATTGCAAAAGGCAGCTTGACTTGGAACAGCTGGCATCCTTCAACACTATCTTTTAACACCCATCAAAGAACATTTGCCTATCCCAGATCCTTGGGAAGATCTCAACAGCTGGATAAAGATGCTGGCTCCAGACAGAACATCTGGCTGGCTGTGTGATCAATCATAATCATGATTTACAGTAGACACACAAAGCCTGTTTATCCCAGCCCCCATTTAAGGCCTCACTTCCTGCCCGTCTGTTGTGCCCGCAGTGCCAAAAAGCGGAAGCCGGCTTGGACAGACCGTATCCTATGGAAAATCAAAAGCGGTGGCCACCCAGTGCATTCTGGGAGATCCAGTGGTGGGAATTTGACTGTGACCCAGCTCTGCTATTGCAGCCATATGGAGTACACTGTGAGCGATCACAAGCCCGTGGTCTCCATTTTTGCAGTACAGGTGAGTCCACAGCCCTATTGATAACCTCCCCCCCCATACACACACACACACACACACACACACACACACACAAACCTGCGCCTTAGGATAGCTGTGGTTGTTCCACTGAGAGCTTTAATTGTGTGCTGCAAAGTTGAATTTTTAGGAAGAAACCTCACTTTGGCCCTATTCCTACTCTGATCTTCAGTTATGGTCACCTCATGCTAGTCTTGCCTGCTCAGAAACACCACCCTATGGGAATTAGGTATGGATAATCTAGATTCTAGAGAAAAGAAAGACCAGGGAGAACAGGATAGCAGTATTCCAATATTTGAGGGGCTTCCACAGAGAAGAGGGGGGTCAACTTATTCTCCAAAGCACCCGAAGGCAGGACAAGAAATGATGGAAGGAAACTCATCAAGGAGAGAAGCAACCTAGAACTATGTTTTGACAGGCTGTTAAGTAATCTGGCTTCCCCATTCCCTTTGCTTGTCAGACGATTGCAAAAGGGGATCACATGATCCTGGGATACTACGACGATCATCAATATGAACCAGTTGCCAAGCATCTGCATTTTGATCACGTGATCAGGGGGCTGCGGCAAAGGTCGTAGCTGTGAAAAATGGTCCTAAATCACCTTTTTCAGTGCTGTTGTAACTTCAAACTGTCCCTAAATGAACTGTATACCTAGCCTGGTAACGAAACCTCTTGAGGCTAACAGCCAGGCTCCGAAAAGTGTAAATATTTAAAAGCAAGCGTTATTAAATACACAGAAAACAATACCGTATTAAAAATACAAGCCACCGGGCCCAGGAGAGAGGGGGGGGGGGGATCTTGACAGCGAAGGAGATAGCCATAAATAATGAACAGGGTTGATCCTTCCTCTTTCTGGCAGTTCGGTTCCCGAGCCGATATGCCCCTGGTGGAGATGCAAGTGGCGGACGAGTGGACCAAGCCGGAGCAAGCCGTGGTCCGTTACAGGACGTCCTTGGCTTTCCACCGCAGCTCCTGGGATTGGATCGCCCTCTATCGGGTGAGAAGGGCTGGTCGGGCAAGCTGTTAGTAACTTACAAAGTCCCGAGGCTGAGTGGTTGCCTCGAGAAGGTTGAGTAAGCTACATCAGTACATAGTAAGTAAAGGAAGTAGGCACCACTCTTACAGAGAGTCAGCCACAACTGAGCCCAACATTTATGTCGCTAAGTGAAACGTTTGCCCCACTTTATGACTTTTCTGGCCACTGTGAATCATGGCAATTCCGAAGGGCTCAAGGCCACAGCCCAGGGGGTTGGGGACACTTGAATTAAAAGGCCGCGTGAACTCCTCACAGCAGTGGACAGATAAGCAGAATCATCTGGGTCTCTCAGCAGCCACAGGGGAGGCACTGAGCAAACTTCTCGGGATTTCTCTCCCCCCCCTTAGGTGGGTTTCCGGCACTGCAAGGACTACATAGCCTATGTATGGGCCAAGCAGGAAGATACGGACAGCCACCTCTATCAGGTAATTGCATGTGAGCAAGTGGAGCTTCCTGTCTGCCAGGCCAAAAGGTTTGATCTCAGAAAGAGGCAACATCCATGGTGATGGGCTGACTAGATGGTTATATTTGCGCTGTGGAAGCAAACCCTCCTCCCCAGTGAACAATTTCATTGAATAGAAATTAATAACAATAGAATAATAAAATAGAATAGAATATGGAATATGGAATAGAACAGGAATAGAATATGGAATATGGAATATGGAATATAGAATATAGAATACGGAATAGAATAGAATAGAATAGAATAATAATAGAATAGAATAGAATAGAATAGAATAATAATAGAATAGAATAATAATAGAATAGAATAGAATAGAATAGAATAGAATAGAATAGAATAGAATAGAATAGAATAGAATAAGAACAGAACAGAACAGAATAGGATAGGATAGGATAGAATAGAATAGAAATAAGAATAGAATAGGCTAGAATTCTTTATTGGACAAGTGTGATTGGAAACACAAGGAATTCGTCTCGGGCATATGTGCTTCAGTCTCCCCAACTCTTTTTCTCTCTTCCATCTCTAGCTAAGCTTTCCAGAGGAGTGCTTGCCTAAAGGGAAGGGCGACTACATCCTTGGCTACTATAGCAACAACTGCAACTGCATCGTGGGAGTCACAGACCCCTTCCAGGTGAGCATCTGGAGGGCAGGAAGCCTGTGGCCCCCAAAGCCCCCCAGGGCCCTGCTTCTCTCAGTTCCTGGGAGGGATGTACAAACAGTGCTTGTGATTTGAGGAAAGTTGACTTTCCTTCTCCTCTCTCCCCATTTTCCTGGCCTAGATCTCCTTGCCCACCTTGGAACAAGTCAGCAGCGCCACAGACAGCACCAACAGCACCTCTGAAGAGGACGATGACAGCACGCTGGTGCTCCTCGGCCCCAAATCCCGCAGCCCCAGCCCCGGGAAGATGCACCGCCACCGCAGCCGCAGCCCCAGCCTGGCCAAGTTCCAGGGGCTGCTCTTGCGATCCACCAGCCGAGACCAAGGGGCCAGCCGTAGCCCCTCGCCCCAAGGACGCCGCCACAGCACCATCCTGAAGGCGGACATTCCCAGCATCCAGTTTTCCAAGGACAGCCCAAGGCACCGCTCCAAGTCACGGGAGATGGCGCAGAACGCCCAGGCCTCCCCCTCCTCCTCCTCTACTTCCACTGCCTCCCAGTCCCGGACAGGCTGGCGCTTTGAGGAGACTCCGCCGTCCCGGGCCGATCCCCGGAATCTGGGCTTGCTGCCTGCTGTGCGCTTGGAGACGGTGGATCGTGTCATGGGGTCCCGGCGTGACAGCACTGACCCGAGCCTGCCTGGACGAAGGATGAGCCCCACCAGCCCCACGGCAGGACTTGCGGCCCTCTTTAGTACTTCCCCATAAGAGGGGGCACCCCATGATCCCCACAGCCACAGCTGTGAAACCAGACACTAAGGCAGCCGAACCCACTGGGCAACTATCCTGCGTAGTGTGCATTGTGAGTGTCCCGATGCCCTTTGCCCACTCCTGTCTTGGCCTGCCTTGCTCTCTCTCCATGCAGCTGTTCTGGTGGGGCACAGATCCAGACGAGGAGCTGCCGTGGTGCCACCCCATCCCATCAGCTTGACAATTGCCCCACGTCTGCATCAGAGCCCGACCAATGGCCTGACCCTCTCAGCCACTCACTTGTGCTGCTCAACCCTCGTCCTTCTTGGGGACAGCTCTTTCTCCCACCAAACACCAAGGTCGGCACCCCAAGCTGGATCCCTCTAACACTATCACTGTCACAGGGAGGACCAGCCGGAGAAAGGAACACCTCCCCCTCATCTTCATCCGGAGCAGCCCGGAGCTTCCTGGCTCAGGAGCTCAGAAGCTGCTCCCTGCATGAAGACAGATGAGCACCATAAGGAGGGTAGGAGGCCATTTTCAGAGGCCCCGTGTTGAGGGCCCAGTCAGGGTTAGGGTGAGGGAGACCCCAGCAGAATCCCAGCTAGCAGCAGGAGACGTGGGGGGGGGGCTCAAGGCTGCAGACGGAGGACAACTTGGAATGTAGAACTCTGGCCAGGGGAGGCTGGGAAGGGGGGGCTGGTCTCTCTCCAGTTTGGGGGCCTTCTCTGGGACGAGTTCAGAGTTGAAACAATCCACCCTACCTCTCTTAATCCCCACCCCTTCCAATAAACCATCTCCAAATGCTCCATAAGGCTGTGACTCCGCACATGGTGGGGGTGGCTGAGAAGAGACAATGCCCCCTCCCCACAGACTTCTTGGTGTCCTTCCTTCCCCCAAACTAAGAAGAGCTCAAGTCACGGTTAGAAAATATTTTATTGCTACCTTATTCATGGCCCCACAACACCCTCCCTCCCCTAATAAATTAATGAGCTGCCCTCCTTGCAAGGAGAGCGTAGGTGGGGTGGGAGGGGGACCCCTGCCTCTCGCAGCAAGGAGTCCTATTCAGACCGTCTGCTTGGAGAGGTGAAGCCTGGACGTCACCCTTCACCTCTCCCCGTTCCTTGGCTTGGGGCTCAGCACCATCACCCAGCTCCAAAGCACCCGTGGCCCAGAGTTTATGAGTCCACGGCCTGCTGAGGCCAGTTCCTTGCAGCAGGCAGGAGCCAGCTGGTATTGCGCCATGGATGATCTCCGGACGGTGCCCTCTTCTTGTTCACACCAGCAGTTGTGTCTTCCACACCGGACACCTTCTCAAAGGCAGGGAACGACGTGGAGGGGAATGGCTGAGTTTCGCCGTGATCACTTCCTGGGCTTGGCCTTCTCGCGCACCCGTGTGTGCAGGGACAAAAGCTGCCCTCGCTCAGTGTGGCGCTGGCTGGAGGGCGGCTCGCACCAGCTGCACACACTTATCGAACAGCTGGGGGGCTCCCTCCTCAAGGTGATCCCCTCCCTGGCGCTTCACTTTGAAAGAGGCCCTCGGCCGTTTGCCCACCAGCCAGTTGGTGAGGTGGCGAGCCGGGGCCAGGATGGCGTTGCCAGCGCCGATGCAGCTGCAGGAGGAAGAGACAGGAAAGTGGGATCCTTGGTGGGCTGGTGGGTGGGTGAGTGTGTCCCCCCCCAAAAAAAGAGCAGACCCAGCAGACAGGAAAGTCAGGTTGGACTGCGAGTCCTCCTGATATTGTGGAATAACACCACAGGGGGGGGGGACACTCCCCGCCCCTCCCTTCCACTTACTTGGGCCAGCTTTCGTCTCCCTCCCTACAGCCTGGGAAGTTTTCCAGGACAAAACAGGAAGGGGAGATGTAGTTGGACAAGACTTGCTCTTCCACCTCGTTGGGAACCTTCGTCCTGCGCAGGAATCGGGCCAACCTGGGGGGAGGGGGAGAAACGGCTGAGGAATGAAACCTGCATCAAATCTTCTGCGGTGCAGCCAAGTAGATGCCCTCAAACACTGCAGGCCAAGGGGAAAAAACCCGGATCCCCCCCTCAGCCTCACAAAGGACAGGGGAAGCCCCCTACCAACCTCCCTTAGCCTGGTGGCACCCTTCTCCACCCACCCACCCACCCACCCGTATAAGTCAGCAGGACTACAACTCTCACGTTGGAGTTGCAAAAAGGGCTCCGAATAGGCTTGGGAGACTCACAGCTGGTATTCCAGGAAATTCTCTACCGTGAATTTCATTTGGTTAGAGATCCTTCTGGATTTTGAACCTGTCTTCGGGGGTGTTGGCTATTCGTGCCAGTTTAATTTGCCAGTTTTACGGCCGCTGGCTGCCCACGAATCTCCCTCTCGCCCTGCCCCGGTTCTCCGATTTTGGGAATTGCGGTCCTTCTCACCCACCCCCATTCTTTGCCAGAGTGACTGGAGGCTGGAGGTGGAGGGACGATGCTCACCGGCGGGTGCAGTTGCAGTGGAAGAGAGTGCGACCATCTGAGTTGTGGAGCTGGTACTTGAACTCATTGGGGCCAATTTGGAAGGGACACTGATCCAGCCGTTGGTAGCAGCGGCACCTCCGTGATAGGGCTGGAAAGACAAGCAGGCACAGGTCAGTGGGGGAATCAAGGTACAGAAGCCTGCCTAACTCTTCCCACCAGGCCAGGGAGGGGGGGGGTCAGGAGCAGGGAATCAGCAATGCAAGCCCACCCACCCACTTTTTTTTGCATCCCATTGATTACTATTTGGGCATCTTCCAATCTTTTTTTTTTTTTTTTTTTGGCTTTTTAAACCTGGGACCTTCTCACCAGATTTCAGGCTGAGCTTCACTTGCCCAAAGGAGTAGCCCTTTTTGGAATTCCCAGCTGGCATTGCCCATGGGAGTTTTTAAGGGACAAACAAAGAAAGACCCCATAGACCTCCCCCAGCAGAGGGAGGATTTGAACCCAGGCTTCCCTGGCGCTAGTCTTAACTCTAAAGGTCTATCTTGGTTCCCAAATGATCCCAAAGATACTTTTTCATGAGGGAAGACATTTCCTTTGAAGACATTTAGCTTCTCATCCAATAAGTTCCTTCCAGTCAGAGCTGAAGAAGCTTCTGGGATGAGAAGCGAAACGTCTTCAAAGGAAAAACAAGGAAGTCCAGTTGCTTCGTGAAAAAGCATCGTTGGGATAACGATGACCTGGATGACGGACAATCTCCATAGACATCTGGTTCCCAAGGTAGAGGCCAAACCATCAGGTTGAAAAACACAACATTTTCCTTTTTTTTTGGGACAAAGTTTTGAAAGGCACCATTTGCCAATCCGAGAGAGAACGAGCCAATATTTGACTGGCTCTTTCGTAAGTCCTGCCACATTGAAGTGGCCCCAGAAGGAATACTCAGTCTGAGGCTTACCTGGTCTTGGCTTGGAAGCCTGGCCAGCAAAGGCCCTCTTCTCTCCTTGCCAAGTCTTGTTGGAGAAGCTTTCTTCCACAGGAAGGACTACCGGGTGATGGGTGGTGAGAATCCCACCGTCCGTCTTCCAGGGACCAGGCTCCGGCGTAGTTTTACGGGCAGGTGACCCCAGCATGGTCTCACCTGGGGAGCTTGTTCCCAGGATATGAGTGGCATGATTCGGCTTGGAGATTGGGGACAGTGGGGTGATGGGACCCTGGGTGGTGGGATTCAGCTTCTTCATCTTTTTGGCCTGTTTCCTCCGCCCTTTTCTGTCTTTCAAGCTGGGCTTCCGATGCCTTCTAGGCTGGGGAGGAGATGTGGTACCGTCGGGGTTCTCGATGGGCTGATACGGATTTGGCTCCACCAACTGAGCCAGCAGCATCAGGCCATACTTCTTACACCTAGCAGAGGACAGAAGAGACCAGGCGCTGTGCTCAGTCTTTGCACCACACCCTTACCCGGGTTATGCAATTCAGACAGGTCCTGTTTTGGCGTGATGCACTGAGCTATTAATTAATCACAGAGGCGAGTTTTCCACAAGATGCTAAACTGTGGGTGGGCAGTTTGCAGTTGTGTCTTGTGCAAACTCAGCCCCACTGTGTCCAGCAAGATTCAACAGGCCGTGAGAAGGCGTCTCAGCCTAAAGCCTCCCAGAAAAAAAAAAATGGCTAAATTTAAATTTATGGCCTGCACAAGGTGGAGAAAACGGGAGATTTACAATCCCCAGAGAACTGGGTGGGACGGCTGTAGCTTTGAGGAAAGAACAGATCCAAAATGATCTTGATAAATTACAGCAGTGCTCTCCAACTCAGAGAGATATTCTTACTAATGGCCGTGTTGGCTGGGAAATTTGAGAATTGGAAAGTCCATGTTTCCAGATGTCATGAAGGTTGGGAAATATTGAGTTTAAGTTCGTTTTTGGATAAGAAATTCAATCCATAGGCACAGCAAAGAATGTATGCATGTATGTGCAAAGGATACCAGAGTCACAGCGGATCAAAGCTTCTTAGAATCCTAAACAAAGTTATTTTAACTGGATCGTAACAAAAAAAGAAAACTAGCTGAGAATGAGTCAGCTGTGTGACACAGCACAAGAAAGGCGGGCACATTTTGAGGCTGCATCAAGATTTCCCAATGTGGGAAGCACCTCTGCTGTTCAGGAGAAACTGAGGAAACATAAAACAGATATTCCTTGATTTCCCACAACGGCACTGAAAAAGGGACTTACGACCATTTTGCCCAGTTATGACCTCAGGATCACGTGACCAAAATTCAGAGGCTTGGCAACTGACTCGTATTTATGACGGTTTCAGTGTCCTGGGGTCCCCTTTTGTGACCTTCTGACAAGCGAGGTCAGTGTGGGAAGCCAGCTCCACTTAACAATCACGTTCCTGTTTTTAATCAACTGCAGTGACTCCCTTAACAACTGTGGCAACAAAGGTCGTAAAATGGGACAACATTCACTTCACAAATGTCTCACTTAGCAACATAAATGTTCTCAGCGTGTTTCCTCACTCGGGCAGAGGTCAGAGCTAGCTTACTCACCCGCCCCACCAGTGCCACTCAAGGCAATCCTCGCTCTCTTTCAAGTAGAAACAAGGGATTTCCAGCAGGTTGAAGAAGCTGGTCCCAATGAAGTTGGAGATGGTGTCGTTGAGGTTCTTCAAGCAGTCTCTGAACCTGTTGAGAAGCCAGAGGGAAAACTTTGTGGTTAGGCAGCTTCTTCTTAAGGCTGTCTTCTTCTTCCCCATCTGCCAGTCTCCATGTGCTTTGGACCACCCCTCCCAGCATCCCTCGCCAGCACGGCCAACAATGTAGGAGAGCGATGGGGATGTGAGTTCAACATCTTGGGAAGGCATCAGGTTACACCAGGGCTCTTCAAACGTGGCCCTTTTTTGACTTGTGGACTTCAACTCCCAGAATGCCTCTTCATAGGAGCCTGTACTCGCCTGTTGTCACAGCTGCAGTGAGAAATGGTGTGCAGGTGATAGTTGCGGATGCCGTACTTGAATCCCAGAGGTGAGATGTGAGCATCGCACGTGTCGTGTTCACGACAGCACACGTCTGGGCCCTGGAAAACCCCTGCAACGGAAGGAACCAGGATTAGATGGGAAAAGAGCCACTGGGAATTTCACCAGGAGCCTTCTCTGAGCAAGACTAGAAAATATCAGCATAACAGAGCTGGAAGGGATCTTGGAGGTCTTCTAGTCCAACCCCCTGCTCAGGCAGGAGACCCTATATAGAGGCGGCAGTCACATGAGAAGTAGAAATGTGCTTTGTGTGGAATTCTTCCAGACATGCTCTCCCAAGCTAAGGGCAAGGGGATGTGGGTGTGATACACAATGCTCCAAGTGTATTTTCCCAGTACGCAGG